TTATAATTTATGTGTCTGTGAAGATAAATATGTGCGATTTTGGTAGATTTTTCTGAGATCATCGTGTTCATCGGAATATATTTGATCGCTTTATTGTTCGAAAGTATGTGGTGTATTCTGTTGCTTCACTAAATAAACGGCAGAGGTAGTCTGCGTCAAGTTGAAGAGGTACTAAAATATAAAATAAGGCCGGTTTTCTACGCAAGGACGTATATTTTCAAATCCTGTGCGCCAATTCAGGACGAAAGCGGGCCCCATTTGGGGCAACTTTAACCCCTTAGTCCCCTCGCTTACTACTTGATTTCTTATATTTTACTGCTACAGTGGTTGCGTTGTCAGATCACCCTGATGTCAGTCCACACTCGCGTGGTGCGTACTTTAATTCCATCACTTCATGATAGCGATCTGCCACTCCAATTTCTGACTCTGCACTATTCGCTCATTTGGTTCGTGGCTGCACCCGTTAGCACCCACCTGATATCTTGTACCAATAGTATCGTCTTCAAGGTTTCGGATTCACATAAGTAAATTGGATCCATCCACCCTCAAATTGCACGGACACGAGCGAGAGCAGAGACAAACACTACGTAAGACATACACCGTTTTGTGCAAAACCGTGTACATCCTAACCTGAGGACTTTTAATTGGGGTTTGAACTTTCCAAGGTCTCCGCGCGCGCATCACCACCTAATCGTAATTCGACGTACTCCTATACATTCTCGAGCCCTCGCAACTTCTTAACCTCGGCAATCTCCTTCTTGCTTGGCATACGCTTCTTCCGATCAACATTAATCCTCACGGCATGGTCATCCGGATTCTTATACTTTTTGGCCCACGGCGACTTGGTGCCCGCCAAAATTAGGTGCCGGCTCCCGTAAAAACCTCGCAATACATTTTTGTAGTAGCACCTGGCTTTACCTATACAATAGGACCGTGAATCGTGGCGTGTACGTGCAGATTAATATATATGGATCAAATTACACTAACATTTGGTAGGCAAATTATCGGCCCCCATAAAGATACGGCAGTTGTATAAAGTTGGGATATCAATGATGAATGAAATAACCGAAAATCATATATGTCTGCCACGCTGAAATATACATAGGGACATCGGTATTGTGGTCATCAATAGACATGCTAACAAACCTCTAAGATGGATGGGTATTGGACATGTATATATACAATATATATATATATATATACATACATACACATACGCACACACACACATATATATATATATATATATGTATACGACATCTGTCCCATTTGCACTCGACATACCCAAATCCCACATCTTGAAGCATGATATTAACTTTTCCAAATTCTTGAACCTCATTTTACCAGACCCTTGTTCGTACCACACGACAATCGGGTTTTGATAATCGGGTTCGTCATTAGGAAGTACCAATGCTTCTGGTAATTCTTGGATTGTATACGGACAATGAGCATCGCCGCCGAAGGCGACTGGGATAGCTTTTGAGAAGAGTTCATCCAAATCCTCGTCGTATTCAGCCTGTATGACAATTCAAATCGTCAGAGTAGGAATGATCATATCGCGTCAAGTTCAGCATGGTATTTACATGGACAATCCGAGCTGCTCTATAAAATGGTAAAAAAAAAGCAAGAG